CCTCCATTATTTGCATCCCGGCCACTCACTCCGATTCTTGTCAAAGTGTGATTCTTCTTTTCTCTGCTGAAAGGACCCTGCTTCTCCTGTCAATCCCTTATCAGTTTGAATCTGTCCCTTTGCCCCCCTATTGGTGGAAACACGCCCCGGCTCCGCAGCCGGATTGGTTAGAGTCCTTTCGATATCAACCAATAACGAAGCGCATGGAACAACGAGGCCACGCCCACCGCTTCACTTTGCCCCGCCCCTTCGCGGACTCAATGAGAGCCTCTTGATTGGCCCGCTTGGAAGGAAAAGTGGCGGGACAGGCAGGAATGCGAGGAGTGCGTTATTGGTTAGAGTGGATGCCCGTCTTTTCAAAAATCGGTTCTGATTGGGGTTTCTCAGCAAGGGTGGGCGGGGTTTGTGTGGTCGGGGCTACGGGCAGAGCGGACCGCGGGAAGAACCGCGAGGGGAAGGCAGCTCGGAGCGGGACGAGGGCGGCGAGGCAGGTAATCCTCCTCACATTCCCTCACACTGACGCCAAGAGAGAGAGAGAAAGAGAGGGAGAGATGTTATGGGCTGGCCCTTAAGGCGCTTAGTCTGACCCCAAAGGCTTGATGGACAGAAGAAGTCCCAAAGGAGCCTGATGTTTTCATAACTTTTTGAAACTTCTTTTTGGGAGGGGAGGGGAGTTTGTTTGTGGCTCTTTCTCTCCTTCTGCCTTTACATTCTCCCCTTCTTCCTTCCTTTCCTTCTCCCTTTGCTTTCCCTTTTTCTTCCTCCTCCTTCTCTTTCCTTCCCTTGCTTTTCCTCACAGTTTCCCCATTATTTCTATTCTTTTCTTCCTTCCTCTCTCTTCCTTCCTGCCCTCATACCTTTTCCTCTTTCCTTTCTCTCCCTTCCTTCTCTTCCTCCCTCTCCTCTTTCTTTCCCTTGCTGTCCCTCACACAACTTCCCCCCTTTACCCATTCTTTTTCTTCCTTCATCCTTTTCTTTCTCTTCCCTGCCCTCATACTTTTTCCACTTTCCTTTCTCTTCCTTCCTTCCCTTTTTCCTCCCTCTTCTCCTCTTTCTTTCCCTTGCTTTCCCTCACACAACTTCCCCCCTTTATTCCATTCTGTTTCTTCCTTCATTCCTTCCTTTCTCTTCCTTGCCCTCATACCTTTCCTTTCTCTTCCTTCCCTTCTTTTTCCTCCTCTTTTCCTCCCTCTCCTCTTTTCTTTCCCTTGCTTTCCCTCACACAATTTCTGAGCTTTACCCCCATTCTTTTTCTTCCTTCACCCCTTCCTTTCTCTTCCTTGCCCTCATACCTTTCCTTTCTCTTCCTTCCCTTCTTTTTCCTCCTCTTTTCCTCCCTCTCCTCTTTTCTTTCCCTTGCTTTCCCTCACACAACTTCGCAGCCTTTCCCCCATTTTTTCGTCCTTCATCCCTTCCTTTCTCTTCCCTGCCCTCATATCATTTCCTGTTTCCTTTCTCCTTCCTTTCCTTCTTTTCCTCCTCATTTCCTTTCCCTCCCTCTTTTCTTCCCTCTTTTCTCTTCCATTCTTTCTCTTTCCTCCCTGCATACCTTTCCCCCATTCCTTTTTCATTCTGTCCCACCTCCTTTCCTTCCTTCTTGTCTCTTCTTTTTCTTTCTTTTCTTCCCATATACTTGTCAACTAGCAGTCATCCATCCGCTTTGCACCATTCCTAACAGCCTCAGGCCCCTTCCTTCTACTTAAGTTGCTGAGGAGGAAAAGGAAGGGGCCTGAGGCTATTAGGAGTGGTTGGAGTTGAAGTCCAAAACACCTAGAGAGCCCAGGTTTGCCCAGGCCTGCATGTGGAATTAATGGTGTTTGACCCCAATTTAACTGCCATGACTCAATGCTGTGGAATCATGGGAATTGTAGTTTGGTCATCACTATTTGATAGACATCATCACTATTTGATAGACAAGGCCATGAAGACCTTTTAAAACTACAGCTCCCAGAACTCGATAGCATTGAGCCATGGCAGTCAAAGTTAAGCAGCTGAGGGGAAAAAGGAAGGGGCCCGAGGCAGTTAGGAACTGTGTGAGTTGAAGTCCAAAACACCTGATCTAAATATTGACAACCCCCCTCCCCCTTAATGACTTTTGGCCCAATCTGTACTTTGGATTTTTTTTAAAAAAAGATTTTGAAATACCTTTTATTAAGTGTATTTTTGTATGTCTTTGGCAGGAGCCACTGTTTTTGGTTGTTTTTACTGTAAAGCAATAGCTATCTCAATAAACTGCAATGATAACATAAGTTGAGTACACCTTACACAAATACTTGAAGTACTGGGATTTTTAAAGATTTTGAAATACCTGTATTTTAAGTAAAGGTAAAGGTTTTCTTTTGACATTAAGTCTAGTTGCGTCCGACTCTGGGGGTGGTGCTCATCTTTATTTCTAAGCTGAAGAGTCGGCATCATCCATAGATGCCTCCAAGGTCATGTGGCCAGCATGACTGCATAGAGCACCGCTACCTTCCTACCTTAGCAGTACTTACGAATCTACTCACATTTGCATGTTTTTGAACTGTTGGGTTAGCAGAAGCTGGGCTAACAGCGGGAGCTCACCCTGCTCCCCGCATTCGAACCGCTGACCTTTCAGTCAGCAAGTTCAACAACTCAGCAGTTTAACCCACTGCATCACAGGGGTCATTTACTTTATCATACCATTTACACACATAGATGAAGTATCTTGGAGATCCCTCACCAGACGCTAATATTTTTCTTCCCAGGAAATGAACCTTGCCTGTTTTTTTCTCCTCCTTTTTTTAAAACTACAGTTTGCATATTATTGCTTGATGATTAATTCCTTGCTTCCTGTGGTGTGATGCTCTCCCTCATGGGTGCATAGTTGACACAACCTTGGCTCCCTCCTGTTGTTTTCCAGGCAGCAATATACGATACTCACCTGTCTCCCAGGACTATGTACCCTTTTCCAATGCTATTTAACATCTTTTTCTGCAAGCAGAAGACTAGGCTGGACTTTAAATTTCCTATCGATCAAGAATCTGTCATATAGTGACACACCAAGTTCAATTGAGTCTACCGCTCTGGTATGATGGTCCACCCAAGTCTTGGTACACCATCCTGTTTAGTTTTGGACTGCAAAGAATGGATTATGAAGCAACAAACTATAAACAGAACTTGAAAAGGTTTTTTTTTTTTTGGCAACTCAGAATTTTTCAGCCAGCATCGCCACCGGGAGATTCTGAAAGTCATCCTTTATGTCCTGCCCCCAAAGCTCCAAGGATGGGTGATGGCATTGTTTAATTGGGATCAGGATTTCCCATTTTTTTTTGTGTGGGAAATTGCAGCTGACAGTGTCACCCATCTGTGTAGCAAATGAACTTAAAACACGATTATTATCCAGGATGGTGCACCACAAATTGTGGAGCACTGGGACCTCATCACACTAGAGAATGAATCCACTTTAAACCCTGTTGCTGCATCCTGCAAAATTCTGGGATTTGTAGTTTAGGGAGAAGCTTTAAAGAGGCTCATTAAACTACAAACCCCAGAATTCTGCAGGAGGCAGAAGCTGGATTTAAAGTGGATTCATTCTCTAGTTTGATGAGGTCCCTAATGCTATGTATAGTAAAGTATCCAGCATAAATGTTGCATTTGCCTTCTGGTTTATATAGTTTGCAAGGGTCTGTTTGAGTGGGTTTGGTCTACATGACATCTAAGAAATGTAGTGATTCCTCTGCCATGTGTTTTGAGGGAGGTCTTTAAATACATTATCAGGATAGCTTCACTGCTCATCAATAGGATGCGTGGTGCCCAGAAATATGCTTCAAGTACTTTGGAGCCTGCTGTATTTTTTCTTTGTGTTTTCATCTAGTGCTTCAGACTTGACTTTGTTAGCCTTTACCGTTTCCTGTCTCTGCTGGCCACATTGTTTCAGCCTTTGGATGTGAGTCCAGGTCTCTTGTTTCTCCTACCTCCTCCTTTTAACATTTGTCTCCAATAGTAGCTTGTAATCCAAAAAGGGCAGGAAAAGTTGTTCTCCACCTTCCCCCTGCTGAGAAACTTGTGTTTGTCTTGCATATATTGAGTCACATTTCCTTTGGCTCCAAATGGGCTTTGATGTCTACAGCAGATGCATGCCCCCCCCCCCTCCCCAACATCTCCTTGCTTTTGCATTTTGATGGAGTCAAATCTCTATAAATTTTAACAATCATACATTACAGAAATACCTAAATCTGCTCTCTTGGCTGAACCAAGGGCTCTAGCTTTAGCTACACCAAAGGGGATTAGTCTTGTTTATACAATGGCTTGTGGATTCATTGGAGAGCCCCTGTAGTTCCAAGTAATTTGAGGATTTGAGTCTGACTTCTCCTTTTAGCATATCGTGTTGCTTTCTCCCTTGTTGTTTTCCTCCTTGCGTAGTTTAAATAAATTGGTTTTTTTTAAGGTGGAGTGTTCCTTTGTCCCTCCTTCTCCTAATGCTCTTGGGTTTGGCTTGCTCTAATGGTATTCCGCTGTTCCTCGTCCTCCAATCTACCTGGATTTTAGGTATTCTACCTTTTCTTCAGTCCTTCTGTAACTGATGCTTTAAGAAAAATGCTTTACTTTAAATAATTGCGTTGGTATGTTACACTCCTGTCTTTCAGATGCAGTTTTAAATGTCTTTGTGACCGGTTGACAATCAAATGCATATTTCAATTTACAGGCACTTGAACAGAAGAAAGTGACTTTGGAGCTTTCATCTCTCCTGTCATTTGGGATTTAATTTACATCATCTCTGACGCTATCTAAAAAAAAGCAGCAAGTCAAGCCCACACACAACATGTTGTTGCGCAGAAGGACTTCCACTCCCTGGCTGTGCTATTAATGTTAGCAATCAGAAAAAGCCTTTGGGGGCTGCAGATCCTCTCTAGTCTGATGCTGCTGCTGCCGCCACCGTTGCCGCCACCACTGCTGCTAAGGGTTTTGGTGCAGAGAATCCAAACTGCTGCCTTTTCTGTCCGCTGAGCTCTTCACATCTGCATGTCACTGCTGCTCATGCACACACCATCTCACACCCTCTCTCCATGGACTGATTGCTGCCGAGGGAAGGCGAGCCCAAGCAAGTGATCCGGGTTTGGGGGGGAGGAACGTGAATTGCATTTATTCCTTGTAGTCTGGAGGATTTGTTTGGAGGATAATCTTGTTTTGGAGGGGAAAGAAAACATGACGTCGCCAGCTAAATTCAAAAAGGATAAGGAAATCATAGCTGAATATGACACTCAAGTCAAAGGTAAGGTCTTTTTTGTTTTTAAAAAGGCATGAATGTAATGCATTTCTGTGTATCTTTCCGTCTTAACTTGCAAATGCAGGCACTCATGCTACATGCTTGGGTGTGGAAGGGGAAAGCATTTCCAGATCGTCAGGAATTTGCTGTGCTTTTCAATAGTACAGTGTGTTAGAAGGGATTGGCAGTGATTGTTACTTCCTGGGGTGGGTTCTTGAAATACTGCTGTATCTTTATATATCCTTAGTTTTATTGCACCATTACTTGAAAAAAAAGGCCACCCATACAAGTTATTTTTGTGATTCAAAAACGTAGCATACAATTAATTAAATATAGCTGGGAAATGGAACCCTCCCCTGGGAAACGTATGTATTAGTTTAAGAAGCTTTGTTGCTTGGCAGTATTGTGAATTGCAGCTTTAAAGGGGTTTTTGCAGCTGTATGCACCAAAAGGGTTTCTCTCTTTATAAATGCCTTCTGTGTGTGCATGTTTCACACCCCTGGCAGCTGACTGCAGCACCCTTCAATTTGAGTTGAATATATATGTGTGTAATAATGAACTGTTTCAGGTATTTTGTGCACTGCCCTTCTTTTTTTTTTTTTGGCAAGATGCCCATTGAAGGATGTTTGGAATGACAACAACTAGATAGGCATGTTCTGTACAACAATGTCTTACTGACATTAGACAGGTGGGCTTGGCTTCACACCATCGCATGTCCTGGGTGTCACACTAAAGAGACGCTTGCCTAACTCTTTTGTGTCTGCAGAGTTGTTTTTTTTCTTCATACATGTGTGCATGGTAGGATTTAGTTTCTGCATAGGTGTAGCTTGGCAAAATGCTTCTTCATTGTGGAACTTGGAAGTATTTGAATGAGAAGTGCTTTGGTCTACTTTGTGTGTGTGTTCATCAGGAAACAGCAGATACTGCTTTAAAGGAAATTAACTGGTTTTTAGTTGTGAACTACATGTGCTGTAGTGGCACATGATCCCATTTTAGTAAATTTGAATGTATGGGTTTCTTGGCATGTTCTGAGATGGATCATTGACTTCGCTGTGTTTCAACTTTCTGTATTTCACAGGGGAAACAAGGCCCGCTCTTTCTCTTTTCTTGAGAAATGACTTGAAGCTTAGATCATAAATGGCTTTTTAAAAAGTGTTTTGGGATTCCTGGGTTAGAGGCGGTAGCCAGTGAAAGCATTTTTGTCTTCCACTCCTCCTCTTTTCTTCTTTTTCATGTTAATGTAGGATTTTGCTTGGCAAGTTAGCAACTAACGCTTTGAAATTCTAGTGGCCAACAGGAGGCACTGATTCAGAAAAGGATAGTTCCTTCCAGCAATAGATTGCTGTTGGAGCTAGAGGAGTAGGTGGTCTTAAAATGCAGTGTCCAAAATATATGTAAGAGAGTTGAATTTCCTTTGTTTCATTTTCCTTGCTGTATCAGCAAGAGAGGATTCCCTCCTCCAGCTTGTTAAAACAATGAAAAATACATTTACTCTCTGCTGAGGGACTGCTGAAGTGTTTCCAATCTACATGGAAATCTGTAACTAGGGAATGGATTTAAGGTGAACAAGGGAAATGCAATTAGCTGATTTAATATCAGAATTTTTATCATATGTTACATTGAACCTGCAATCTGGATGGCAATCTAGAATGAAAGCAAGGTTCAACTTGGAGCCACGTTCTTTGATGTTACTCTTGGTTATAACATGGCCTGAAGCAGAGTCCTTTCCTCTACAAGAAAAAAAAATCTGAATTATTTGCTAGGGTTCTGAACTTTGGACTAAACATTTAGCCTCTAAATTATGTAAATATGACATTTCTGTGTGTTATCCTGCAGATTTTTTCAAACGTGCCTGCTAAAGTGCTAGTATTATTGTCGAACATGGCACCCCTGCTCCATGAGAATTGCAGTTTCCCAAGGACAGGCCGTTCAGTTGAATGAAAAGGCATTATTCCCCCTTAGATGAGATTCTCCTCAATCTTCAACAGACCAACAGCAGCCCAAACACTTCTGATGACTGCTCCCCAAAACTATAGCTTCCTTTTGTTTAAAACTCCAAGATATGCACTAATTCAAACCAATGCATATCTCAACTCTCCCTAGAACAGTCTTTACCATTCCCTAAACCTTTGCAACTAAGTATCCAGTTCCTTGAATCATTGTATCTCTTTGCACCCAAAGTATCCCTTAAAATCAATTCCTTGACATTTTCTCATCCTATTCTTCTGTGCTTATCTGCACCTTCGCTAATCCTCTAATGCGCACATTGGAAAGGGGAGAAATTCAAAAGGAGAAGACATAATCTCATACAAACTGCATAAACAATATGCCACAGTTCCAGGACTTTTATACTCCTGCACCCCTTTTCTACCACGTTGTCTATGAGCTATATTTATTCTTGAATATATTCTTAACATGAGGCAAATGATATGAACCGTTTCATCACCTCTGCCCATCCCAAGACAGAGTCAGTGACTCAGGAATGCACCCCTAACTAGATCAGTCAGGGGTGCAGCAGAAAGGAATAAACCTTCCTGAGTGACTTAGTGACTTATCATTTAGATCTTCCTCGGGAGATCGGACCATCAACTACCTAGGTTATTATACAAAGAGAACTCTGTTTGCTTTATGGTCCTGAACAGACATCTTAGGACCATCCCTTTGTCTGTCCAGTCTGAGAGCGGAGAGCAAAGACAAACACTCATTGTTCACAGGAAAACTGGACTTAACATTCACATAATCCTGTCCTGTTTATTCTCTGGACCTCTGCTGTGGGCATGAGCCCACCAGATATGGACTGGACTGCCAGTGGGCCCCTCTCAGCCCGAAGGCCAGCTGATTGGCAGCCCTGGGATTGCTCGGCCTGAGAGGGAAGCAACGACTGTCATTGGGACCTGCACCAATCACAGCTTGAACCGGCCTGAGCTCACCTCCTGGCCAATTACAAGCAAAGACAGTACCGGCTGCCCCCCAGCACTCCACCAGTCAGAAACCAAGAAGGGAAAGCTCAAACTCTGACAATGCTTGCTTATGGAAGTTTTTGCTGTATAAAATGGTTATTTCTCATGATACCTTTATGCGTGTACTTGCGTCCCTACTGCAGATTGAATAAATTTGTTATTTTGCCTTCTACTGGTGAGCCTTATTATCCAGGAACATTGAGGTTGGTTAATCTTGCCAGGTGGAGACTCTCGTCATTGGTATCTGTGATCTATAGAACCGATATCCGTGGTCTATAGGATCCTAAATTTTGACTTCAGCATCTTGAGCTTTCATGGTGGTTAGAAGTGTTCCCTGCCCTCACACAACATAAACCTGGAATTTTTGGTCTTTTAGTATGCTATTTTAAAACAAACAAACAAACTGTATGCCATTGACATGATATTTTCTTTGTTTTTATTGTCAAAGGGATTTGCACATACAACCTATCTCTATTTTGCTGATCACCTAATTTGCATGGGATGTCTAGTCACTCATTGACAGGCTCTGCTGGTAGGGGGAAGAAATGGATCATTGCTGATCATCATGTTCATATAGAATGGACACATTTGGTTCAGTCATTACAACATCTACCCAGCTACTCTTGAATATATTTATTTTCAGTTTTTTTCTGTTAGCCCTTTTAACTCATGTTTGCTCTATTGACAAGAAAACAATGATACAGTTAGAGCTCAACAGGACCCTTGAAACAGGGTTGCTTTTCAGTGGGTATTCTGAAAGTTTCCCTAGTGTGACTGGAGCTGATGTTGATGATTTCTCAAATTATTTCAGTGACCCTAAAGGTTAATTGGTCATACTTATAATCCTTTAAAATCTGCTTGATACCAAGTTTGAAGTGGGAGTTTGCCAACCACTCACAAACTTGTACAAACATGTTCAGGGAGTCAAGTTAAGTTTCATATTGAAACAAGGATAGTTGGTCACTATTGATTGATTAATGTGCACTTTAGAGGATTAAAATAAAATAAAGAAATCCAAAATGTGTATTTAGGAAGCACTAAATACTTGACAGAATGGAACCTTTTCTGGATGGAGCTGAGGAGAAATTGAATCCTTCCACAGCAAGAATAGCAAATGGCTTCACCATTTATTTATTTTTTACTTCATAGAATGATTCATCATAACAATTGGAGATGAAAGGATTCTTGCTGGGTTAGGCCAGAGGCTTCTTTGGTCCAGGTTTTTCTTTCTAGTGGTGGACCAGGTGGCTATAGAAAGCCCACAATGAGGAACTTACAGCAATGATTGTGACTTCTGTGATTGTTATATAGCAAGGTGACACTTGGAGCTGATGCAAATAGCAGCAGACTGTACTCTTCCTTTGCTCTGTAACACACATTTGACTCTTCACAGTCTGCTTTTATCTAGAGCAGGGCTCCTCAAACTAAGGCCCAGGGGCCGGATATTGCCCTCCAAGGTCATTTACCCGGCCCTCGCTCAGGGTCAACCTAAGTCTGAAACAACTTGAAAGCACACAACAACAACAACAATCCTATCTCATCAGCAAAAGCAGGCCCACACTTCGCATTGAAATACTAATAAGTTTATGTTTGTTAAAATTGTTCTTCATTTTAATTATTGAATTGTTTTAAGTGTTTTTTGCACTATAAATAAGATATGTGCAGTGTGCATAGGAATTCATTCATGTTTTATTTCAAATTATAATCCGACCCTCCAACAGTTTGGAGGACTGTGGCCTGGCCCTCTGTTTAAAAAGTTTGAGGACCCCTGATTTAGAGTCTAAAGATAGGAACTTTGATGCTAGTTTTGTTTACCGTATGCTGTGGTTCATAGGTGATTTTTTTGCCTTCCCACAACATAGTTTAACCACAACACAGTGCATGTTCTTTCCACCCAAAGAAGTGTCTATCAGTCAAATTGTTTTGTGCTGAAGCTTGCCAGCATTAACACATTCAACTGATTTTTAGTAGTGTCAGTAACTAAGGCCTTTATCCAGTGATGGCCTTCTATAATTGGAATAGTAAATAGAATTCCTTCTGCAACCT